TAACGTTAGACAAACCCGCCCATTCACTATATTACAATAACTTTGAACTTTTTCTTAATCGTTATTTATGATCCGCTTCGTCAGGTTCATCTAGCATATCCATGTGATGCTAGTTAAGTTTACTAATGCAGCCGAAGCCCCGGTAAACAAAGCGGCTCGAGGAGCATTTATGATGGCTGTTTTGCTAACGTTATTTACCATTTCAGACTGATATTTGCGCCTCGCGTTTTTTAATTTGAAACTCATACTTGCATATGTTTTTGAAATCAATGTTTTCAGAGCAAAGGCAGCGTGGAGTGCTGGGATGTCAAAGGCAACAAGATGGCTGCAATACTACGAGCCTAAAGTGAAGTAAGTAGAATTCACATTGATATAATTGATGGGTTTTAGTGTTATGCGAGATGTAAACCATCACTTTCTGAAAGTTTTTTTTTAGTATATATTTTTTCATTTTTTGATTAATTGTAGCAGCACAAATGTGTCTTCTGAAGCAGTACAATATTTTAGAACAGTGTTGTAGCATGTGATTTAAAGTGATGCTTATATGGGTGTACTCACTTCTGTTGTATATTGGATGTTTGACTAATACACTGGAAGCAATATTGACGTGACATACTGATACAATTCCTCACCGCTAATCATGATGTTCATTCTATTAAGTAGTACGGGTTTAATACAGGAGATTTACAGTCTGATGTAGTAAAAAGAAAAAGTTGTATGAACATGCCCTCTGACCTTACCTCTTTTACTTTGAGGTTAGTTTCCACACACAAGTGCATCTGATGTGTGAGCGGCCATCAGGCGCAAGTGTAACAAAGAGCAATTCTTTATAGAATTGCAATATTATTTGGACATGTATAATTTTAAATTGTTTTGTATTGTGTTATTGTTTTTGTCTTGTTTTATTGTATTTATTTTACGTTCGGAATAAAGTAAAAAAAAAAATCAAAATCAAATTCAGCAAAAAAGTTATGTTTGTGTGTTGCTGCTGTTGCTAAATGTTTTTATTTTTTTATGTTTGTTTTTGCAATGCTAAAACCATTTGAGGTTTAAATAAACACTGTTTGAATTGTTAATAATGTGTCTCTGTCTGTCATTGAAGTTATGTATTTATTGTAATGACCTTAAAAAGTGGATTCAGCATTGGGGAAAAATTTGCATATTTTTACTCAAAAATAATACATTTAATACATTTTGCTCTCATAATTAATTTGTAATGTACTCGTAATATAAAAAAAAGTACACTTTAATATCATTAATATCACATGTAAATAGGCATATACTTAAAGTGTACTAAGTGTACTTGAAGTTGTTCCAATTTAGCACATAAAAGTACACTAAATACACTTAAAGTTATGCTTTACTACAATTTAATTACAATTAAAATATACTTAGTACAAAATTAGTTGTTCCAAAATAGCACACTTCAAGTTAACTAATCATTAACACACTTGAAGTATACTGACAATTAGTCTGGCTGCAAGTATACTAAGTATACTTTTTTTTCACTGGGGAGTAACGTGCTATACATGATAGAAACATGCTAGCAACTTGCTAAACTTGCTAAACACATGCTAGCAACATGCTAGTAACTAATGCATTTAGAAAAAGGAGCCTGAGCAGGAGCAGAAGGCAGCAGTCCTCATCATTGCTGCTGAGGAGGAAGAGGAAATGTCACGAGGGAACCCACTGGATGTTTTGATTGTCTTTGAAGACGGAGAGGTGATGTCAACCAAGTCTAGGGTCAGTGCACTGCTGCTGCTTTTGCACTTTATGCCCTTATTTAGAGTACACTAACTTCTCAAAGCAGCTTTACAGAAAATGCATGTGTCTACATTACAATTTAGCCTGATCTGTACTATACATACTATACTTTTCAATTTGAATAGTGTTGTATCATGTGATTTAAAGTGATGCTATATGGGTGTACTCACTTCTGTTGTATACTGTATGTTTGACTAATACACTGGAAGCAATATTGACGTGACATACTGATACAATTCCTCACCGCTAATCATGATGTTCATTCTATTAAGTAGTATGGGTTTAATACAGGATATTTACAGTCTGATGTAGTAAAAAGAAAAAGTTGTATGAACATGCCCTCTGACCTTACCTCTTTTACTTTGAGGTTAGTTTCCACACACAAGTGCATCTGATGTGTGAGCGGCCATCAGGCGCAAGTGTAACAAAGAGCAATTCTTTATAGAATTGCAATATTTTTTGGACATGTATAATTTAAAATTTTGTATTGTGTTGTATTGTTTTTGTTTTGTTTTCTTGTATTTATTTTACGTTCGGAATAAAGTAAAAAAAAAAATCAAAATCAAATTCAGCAAAAAAGTGAAGTTTGTGTGTTGCTGCTGTTGCTAAATGTTTTTATTTTTTATGTTTGTTTCTTTCAGCGTTCTTTTTATTTAAAAACATGGTTGGTGCATTTTATGTTTTGCAATGCTAAAACCATTTGAGGTTTAAATAAACACTGTTTGAATTGTTAATAATGTGTCTCTGTCTCTCATTGAAGTTATGTATTTATTGTAATGACCTTAAAAAGTGGATTCAGCATTGGGGAAAAATTAGCATATTTTTACTCAAAAATAATACATTTATAGTATATTGCTCTCATAATTAATTTGTAATGTACTCGTAATATAAAAAAAAGTACACTTTAATATCACTAATCAAGCATGTAAATAGGCATATACTTAAAGTGTACTAAGTGTACTTGAAGTTGTTCCAATTTAGTATAGAAAAGTACACTAAATACACTTAAAGTTATACTTTAGTATAATTTAATTACAACTAAAATACACTTAGTACAAAAATAGTTGTTCCAAAATAGCACACTTCAAGTTAACTAATCATTAACACACTTGAAGTATACTGACAATTAGTCTGGCTGCAAGTATACTTGGTATACTTTTTTTTCACTGGGGAGTAACGTGCTATACATGATAGAAACATGCTAGCAACTTGCTAAACATGCTAGAAACATGCTAGCAACATGCTAGTAACTTGCTAATCGTGCTAACAACATGCTAGTAACTTGCTAATCATGCTAGAAACATACTAACAAAATGGTAGTAACTTGCCAATCATGATAGAAACATGCTAGCAGCTTGTTAAACATGCTATAAAAATGCTAGCATCATGTTATTAACATGCTAATCATACTAGAATCATGCTATGGAAATGCTAATCATGCTATAATCATGCCCGCAACATGCTAGTAAAGTTGCCAATCATGCTAACAAAATGCTAACACCATGCTAGTAACATGCTAGTCATGCTAGAAACATGCTAGCAACTTGTTAAACATATTAACAAAATGTTAGCAACTTGTTAAACATGTTAGAAAAATGTTAGCATCATGCTAGAAAAATGTTAATCATGCTAGAATCATGCTAACACTATGCTAGCAACTTGTTAAACATGCTAGCATCATACTAGAATCATGCTAGCAAAACATGCTAGTAAACTTGCTAATCATGCTAACAACGTGCTAGTAACATGCTAATCATGTTAGAAACATGCTAGTAACTTGCTAATCATGCTAGCAACATGTTAGTAACTTGCTAATTATGCTAACAAAATGCTAGTAACTTGCTAATCATACTAGCAAACATGCTAATAACATGATAATTGTGCTATAAACATGCTAATCATGCTAGCAACATGTTAAAACATGTTAGCAACATGCCAGTCATGCTAGAAACAGCCTAGCAACCACCCCAGGTACCCTAGCAATCTGTTTTTCTGATAGACCGTATTGCCTTGAAAAATTCAAACTTTAATCTTTAAAACTATTTTATCTTTCAAACTAATTCAAACTGAAAACTTTCAGACTGCAAGCTTTTAAAACTTTTTCAAATTTTCTAGATAGGCTTTTTCAAGGCAACTTAAAGTTTGTCTACAAACTTTTCAATCTAGTTTATTTATTTTATATTTTGACACGGTCAAATTTCACAAGTTCTGTTTAAAGATTTTTGGTCCTGTCAGCCTTCCATAGAAAATGGATGTGTGGGGCGTGAGAGCGTGAGAACACAGTAAATTGTGTGAGTCTCACACTGAAACTCGTTTGCATGGGCGTGTTCTCCAAGGCCTGAAATTTGTTTGCGTTTGAAATTTACACGTTATACACTTTCTGAAGTCATTGCACTCAAGACCTACAGGTCTCATTCGAGTATTGATTCAGCACTGTACTGGAAAGATGAAAGTGTCCATCATTCTCCTGATTGTCATCTGTGGACTGACTAAAGCTCTGATTAGAGAGCATTTCTATTTGAGCATCCCTAAGAACTAGACTGATGCTCAGAGTTACTGCAGGAATTATTATGAAGATTTGGCAACCATCACAAGTCAAGAAGAACAAGAGTTGCTTTTACAGCAGGCAGGAAACAATGTACAAGTGTACAAATGGATTGGCCTCCACAGGGACACAACAAACACTAGCAACTGGCTGTGGTCTGACGGAAATTCAGTTTCCTTCATTAACTGGAATGAATTCCAGAACTGTGTTATGATTACAGGCAAGTGGTTTGATTATTTCTGTTCTTCACCGTTAACTTTCTTCTGTAGTAAAACCAAATTCATCCTGGTGAAAGAGAAGAAGACATGGGAGGAAGCACTGCAGTACTCACCACACTGATCTGGCCAGCATCACCTCTGAGAGACAATTAGAGCTGACAAAAATAGAGACAAGGGAATCTCAGACAGAAAGTGTGTGGGCAGGCCTGTGTTATCTGGCTGAGGAATGGTTCTGGGTCAACAACAAACCTCTAGGGGATCAAGTCTCACTGCCAGAGTGCCCAACTCATGATTGTGGAGCCTGTAACACAAAAACTGACAAATGGGAAGACAGAGACTGTGAACAGAGGCTCAACTTTCTCTGCAGCTGAACAGGAAGGTAAGTGAGGAATACAGATCCAATTCACATGCAATAAATTATTAAATGAAGCATTTTAAACTATAAAAAAAAAAAAAACAGTGTTCATAACATCTAGATCAGTGATGGGCAAACTTGGCCCTTCCAGGCTACTTTCCTGCAGAGATTTGATCCAACCCTGATATGACCTGCCTGCCTGTAGCCTTCTAGTAGTCTTGAAGACAATGATTAGCTGGTCCAGGTGTGTTTGATTAGGGTTGGAGCTAACCTCTGAAGGAAAGTGGCCTGGAAGGGCCAAGTTTGCCCACCCCTGATCTAGATAGATCACAAATGGTGTACACTGCTCACATGGTTGATCATTCTTTCTTTCAAATATGTACGTACGTATTTATTTATTTATTCATGCAGAAGACCATGATAAGAAGACTTTGAACTGGAACCACTGAACTTGAATACTGAAGGTCAAAAATAAAATGTTGCATTATTATCATAAATTTTTAGTTTTAATGTTTAGTTTTCATGCTCAATTTAAAATATTTTATTTGAAATCTTTCTATTGAAAATCTCCATTTTCTGACATACTTGACAGAAAAGTGTCACTTTTTTCACTTTTTAACTGGAATCAGTGGGAATATTAAAATAAATATAATGGGTTAATTAGAGTTTCTCTTATTTAATTTACATAAATTACTGCTGTAACTACAAAAGGCAAATTGTTATATTTGCATGTTTTCTATGTGCTTTAAATATTGCGACATATGGTGTGTTTTTTCAGCAAACTCTTTGTCTCTCTAACAAATTATATTAGACATGCATACATCATATGTAAGACTTAAAAGTAATGAATGAAATTTTGCAGATCTCTTAGTTGCTGTTGCTCTGAGGAACTGCAGACAATAGCATCCTTGTGTTTATTCAATATTAGATGCCTTGCCTGCTCTTTAACAACCTTATTGTATGTATAATGTTTGATGCTTTGAGCTTCCCACCCCGTTTTTGTGTTTATGCTATCTATCTTATGCCCGGTTCAGACTACACGATTTTAGCCCGATTTTGCCACGATTTGCTCGACGCAGGGTGTCGTGGGGATTCGTAAACGACAATGGGCGTCAGGACGCAAGATTCCATCGTTTCAGCTCGTGTAGTGTGTTATAGTGGACGACAACCGATTCCACGTCTGCGATGCTTCACGACATCACAACAGAAAGACTAGCATGTTTAATTTTTTT